GAGCTTCTCACTGGTATAAAAATAAACCCCCACAGTCCCACCACGAGCAGCCGGCCCTTGCCATCTCCCCCACTACAACTATTTCCCCTTCTCCTCTTATCATCTTCAGTCAGGCTGACTTTTCTCCTACCTCACAAGTATATTAGATTCATCTCTCTGGGGCCTTTGCCTTGCTCTTCCTTCTGCTTGGACAACTCTGACTATCCTAGTTAAAAGCAATAGCTTGCCACATGGATTTATCACATTACTCAGATTTTGTCCTTTTCACAGATTCCTTGAGAGCTTATTTGCTTGTCTATCTCTCCCCATCAGACTGTTATTCCCAAGGGATATTTGTATCTGCCACTTGTATCCCCAACGCCTCCATCAGTGCCTGCACATAGCAGGTGCTTTATCAGCATTTGCTGGTTGCCTGAGCTTCTAGGAGTCTCTCTACGTTATTGATCCCATTATCTCTTAAGTCTCACCTCATTTAGGTCCTCAATAGGGTATTTATGTCTTTACTAGTACTGCTGTGAAATTCAGGTCCGTGAAGTTATTGAGCACCTACTACAGAACAGTTATGTGCTAGCCGGTGGGAGTGAAACAACAAATGGGATACACAATCTACTTGAATTTTATAAAATAAAGGTTTCCTCATTCCTAAAATACTGTGGTAATCAGACTGTGCCACTGGTGTGGCAACAAACCATGATGTGCCTGTAACATCTCTTCTACTGCACTGAACTATCATGTGGCCATCACCCAGGGATGCAGGCCACATGCTGAGAGCCAGGTTGTATCTCTTCAGGCCTTCATGATTTTCTGTGGAACTTCACATACCTGAAGCATTAAAAAATGAAACGGCAGAGGCCAAGAATCCTCTTCTTTTCCCAGCTTGGGGCTCTATATGAAAGAAACTTTACATGGGCACTCATTTATAAGAAATTCAAGGTTTTGGAAAGTGAATTGTGTCAGAAGATGAAACGATTTCAATGTTTTCTAGTAAGTTATATTTATATGCCAAATATTATGAAATTAAGTGATATATGTTAAAATACTTTGTAAAGGACTTAACCATGCAAAGCCTAATTCTGATGTTAACATTTGGAGGTCAAAACATTTGCTGGCTGAATACACAGGGTTGAACTTCTGTTTGCTCTTTTTGCTACCCAAGCACAGATTGTTTTAACAACAAGTAAGAATCACTGCAAATTCTTAGTCCCGGGTTTGATAACTTTGCCTTTCGGAAATAAAATTCTTTATTCTGGAAATGATCAGTGTTTATACTGCATTACTAATAATGAAAACATCTTTTAAAAATTTTTACTCAAGACAGGTTTGCTTGTGCCATTAAGAAAAAAATTTTAATTCTAAAACCAGGAAGAAAATGGTTGTTTACCTGGGTTTCATTCTCTAGAAACAGAACAAAAATTCATAGATAAGAATTTAAGCACAAAAAAAAACTGTAAACTATGAAATGATGGTTGACTCTTATAATACCTCAAAATGAAGTTCACCTTCACGTTGAGGGAGCACACGTCTAAGACAGCTAGGCTAGCATGGGTACTTGTAATAACTAGATTTTTATAGTATCAAATAATACACAAACTGCCACATTAAGCCATACAAAAATAAACACAAACATCCCAGAACAATTATTCATCTTCTATAGTGAATGCATGATTTTTAAAATCATAAGGAAAACATGAATTTCTAACATTTCCTAATTTGACTTGTTGTTGTTGGTAACTAGGGATTGAACCCAGGAGCATTCTACCACAAAGCTATTTGAGACCTTTCTACTTTTTACTTTGAAACAGGGTCTCGATAAATTGCCCAAGCTGACCTTGAACCAGTTATTATCATGCCTCAGCTTCCCAAATAGCTGGGATTAGAGGAGTGGGCCAACACACCCTACTCTAATTTGAATTTTCATTAGTTCCAATTTTATTAGCTAGTGTACATGTATGATGATTTTACAGATGAGCTGCTTAAAACTAATATCTTAAATAAAACAAAAAGGTCTCTTTTTCTCTCATGTGTTTCTTTCACACATAGTACTTTCTTCTTACTGAGATTTAAAATGCTTTATCCAAAAAGATCAGAGATCTGAAAGTTACTTTAGCTTTTAAAATTAAAGTTGATTTCATTAACTATCTGAACTTCTCCTGTCAAAACCATCCAAGCTACCCTACATAATTAGCCATGTTCTACTCAGCTTAAACTAGAAGCATTTCTCCCCCTGGTCCATTAAGTTCAAAGAAAATATGGCAGATGAGAATGAGAATTTGATCTAATTTATGTGTGATAAAGGAAGTACAGGCAATGACTGAGAAACTGAGTAATGATGGTATGTAAGAGAAAAAAATGCATAAGCAAAGAAAAATGTTACATATTGTAGCAGGCCATAATACTAGAGGTGCTCATTTAATCTTTGTTTTGCTCTGAAAACAAACAATAAAAATGCAGGCTGTAGGTTGATCAATTTGAAAATCTTGCCAAAGTATATGTGTTATACACAGAGAGCCCAAGGCTGGCTGCCAGCACCGCGAGGAGTCTATAATGACACGCCAGCAGGTAACAGACTCTCACTGTGAATACTTGGATTTGTTTTAACTACTAATGAAAGGAGGAAGAGGGAGGGAGGACCTAAAAATCACCTTACCCAAATATTTCAGTAGTTTCCAATTTCAATCATCAATGAACTCTGCATTTACTCTTGGTTCCTCAGTGCAAAAACTAAAGGACATAGGAATTTTCTTTAACTGAGTCAAAACTGTTCTAAATTCAAAATTAAGAACGAATGAAACATACTTTTAAAACTTTAATTTTGTGTCAGTGAAGGAAGAATAAAACAACAGAACATGAAGAGGGCTTTCTTTCAATTTACAACCCTAGTCTGTAATCCAAAGATTCCCCGCAACGATGATCCAACAAATATATCTAAATTCTAAAGCCCATACTTTGTGAATGTGTTAACTTCCATGGTAAAGGGGACTTTTTGCAGAAGTGATTAAGAATCTTAAAATGGAAAGATTATCTTGGGTTATCTGGGAGAGTCCAGTGTAATCACGAGGGTCCTTATAAGATGGAATCAGGAGGATTAGAGCTATGAGCAGGCGATGTGACAATGGAAGCAAGAGGCTGCAGTGATGACTAGGGGACCCAAACCAAGGAATGCAGGTGGCCTGTAATAACCGAAAAAAGGCAAGAAACTAGATTTTTCTCTTCAGAATCTCCAGAATGAACCAGCCCTGCCAGCATTTTGTCTTTAGCCCTGGGTTACTGACCTTCAGAAATGTAAGCGAAAATCTTTGTTATTTCAAGTCACTAAGTATGGTGATTTGTTACAGCAAAAGTAAGAAGTTAATATATTCTATCATACTTCTAAGGATTGTGGAAGTTTGGTAGATTTTATTACTATTAATTTAATTGAAGCTACAATAGTTACAAAAGAGGATTTAAAATTGCCAGGCTGCAACCCATTTCTGTGGGAACTGCCAACATCTAGAGATGGTTGGAGAAAATAAAACAGACCCAAGAGGAAAGGAAAAACATGATTTTCTTGTAAGATAAAGAAAGTCTTAACCTTATACACTATGTAAGGAGCTAGCCCCAGACTCAAAGAGTCTACAAATTATATGAAAGTTCTATACCAGAGTGCAGCCATCAGCCTGATATAAGTTAAAACCTAGGTGACATTCCAAGGGTGTAAAAGGGAACCTATACAAAGGAAAGGCAAAAGAATTGCCAGCCAGCAAGGGTATTATAGGTACTTTGACATATGATATAAATTTTATTTCTCATCTTCCAGCCTACTAAGGGAGTAAGCTTAGGTTTTTGTTTTGTGTTTCTGTGGTCCTAGGGATTGAACCCAGGGCCTTGGCATTCTAGATGAGTACTCGACCACCAAGCTATAGCCCTAGCCCAAGGAGGAAAATCTTTAGAACTGCTTTTGTCATCTTGATCTTCCAAGGCAATGATTCTCAAACTACATTTCAGCTCTCTATATGAACTGCTCTCTTTGTAATCTGGGAGATGAGGGAAATGATCAGAAAACCAAAATGGCTTATTATTTATAGTGTCTATAAGAACTGCAATCATTTTCTTCTATCAATAGATGGTGAGCTTGTATTCTTTAGGCAAAATGCTGATAGTTTAGTAAAACTAAAGCATGAGCAGAGTTACAGTGGAAGTGCTTTATAGGCACTATCAGATGGGCGGATTAGTGAAATTCGAGGAGATAAAAAGGCAGACTGAATAAAAGATTAGTTAAAACTACCTGAGTATCATCTTTAATAAACTTATGAAATCTGGACACATATATTTATATATGTACTCAAAAAATGCTCAGAAAAACCTTAAGAGGTCCTAAATTCACCTTTTAGCATCTCAAGAGATGAAGCAGCTTTTAATAAAATATTGTTTTGCAGGGAGGGAAGGTTGGACTGCCAGTCAGCCACTAGATGATCTACTCTTACTAAATTACCATAAAACACAGCCTTCAGAATAAGCATGTTCTATGTTGGTAGTGACATAAATCAGCCTCTTCAACTGAAGCTGAGAGGGCATACAACCTTATCAGTTTTTCCTTTCCATTTTATTCTACCTTTTATTCTTCCTATTTAAAAAGAACCCATCAACCAAAATAATAGAATTTTAAATACCATACTTTTATTTCTTTCCCATGATAGTTTCCATTAATACCACATTTAAAAAAAATGTATTCTGAAAGTTCGTAAATTTTCAGGCTATTAAAAAATAACCTATGGGCTGGGATTGTAGCTCAGAGGTAGAGCACTTGCCTAGCATGTGTGAGGCACTGGGTTTGATTCTCAGCATTGCATATAAATAAATTAAATAAAGGTCCATCGACAACTAAAATATATTTTTAAAAAATTTTCCCCTACTTTCCCAGTACATCTTTCTAAATAGACGGAAATAGATAATTCCTGAATTTAAGAACCCTGCAGGAAAAGCTCTTTGACCTTCTCTTACATTCTCAGCACACTTCTTACCTGCTATTTTGATATTTAGATTGGCGTCCAAAAGCAAATTTTCAGCTTTTAAATCACGATGGACAATGTTCCGACAGTGACAAAAATACACGGCTGTGACAATCTGTTTGAACTTCCGACGGGCTTCCTTTTCTGCCATTCTACCATGGGCCACCAGATGGTCTGTTTTGAAGAAGAGCACAGTCAGTACCCATTTTGGATGTTGGTATAATATCAAAAGTTAGTCTTCAGGTGGGATGGATTGGAGGCCCCACCAATGGCTGAGTTAAAGGAGTAAAACAAATAAAATGAGAAAAACATGTTTCTAGTCCTGATTTGTAGCCATAAAAACTCAGCAGTAATAATAAGAACCCAACTATTTTAAGTATAAATCCTGTTACGTGCAAGTGTACATACCAACACACTTGTACTACTGTAAGAAAAAAATGTTCTGGGGGTTTAATGGTATTTTTCAAGAATCACAACACTCAACACCTTGCTTGTCATACTCCCCATTACAAAAGCTTACACATACATTAGCTAATGAACACATAAAGATAAGAAGTATTTCTTGTGGTAAAAGGTGAGTTAAAAGGCAAGAGTCCCTAAATCAGCAATTTAAGAAAAAGCAGGCATTGCCAAAGGAGAGAAATGCTTTATACAGGACTCTGTTCAGGCCAGTATCTCTTCTGTTGAAGTTCTACACTTTGATCACTTAGCAACATGCCTACATTTTTGTATCTGCATTTTTGGGGCTTACCAAATGTTTTTAAAACTATGCTATTAATTTTTTACAGATGATACCATGTTATGGTTTGGATGTGAGGTATCCCTCAAAAGCTCACATATGAGACAATGCAAGAAGCTTTGGAGGAGAAATGACCAGGTATAGTCTTAACATAATCAATTAATCAATCCCTGATGGGATTAAGTGGGTTGTGGCTGGAGAAAGTGGTTCATGGGGGGCATGGCTATGCGGTATATACTTTGTATCTGGAGAATGGACTCTCTCTCTATCTCTATCTCCACCCCCCCAACCCCGCTTTCTGATTATCACGTGAGCTGCTTCTCTCTGCCACACTCTTCCGCCATGATGTCCTGCCTCGCCTCAAGCTCTGAAGAATGGAGCCTGCTGTCTATGGATGAAGATGTCTGGTGTCTGAAACCCTGAGCCTCTAAATAAACTTTTCCTCCTTTACAATTGTTCTGGTCAGATCTTTCAGTCACAGTAGCGAAACAGCATCAATACATGTTACTAAAGAATATCCATGAGATAAATTCTATAAATCTATAAATTGGGCCATCCTCAAATTTTTAAAAAGTAATTTGATTTCTAATCAATACAGGAAGTTCCTTAAGTACTATCCAATAATGGCAGCAGGTTTACACTGAATCAATGACATATATATCCATGACTCAGTTCTTCATAAACCAACACATACAGGTCATGACAGCTGAAACGATTAAAAATCTTAGTTGTGATACAGTATATTCTGATTGAAATATGTAATAGTGTCATCAGCACTGTCCTTTAACCAACTGATTTAGCAGGAAAGAGGAATGTTTGCCATTCTAAACATCCTGAAATAGTAGGAAAGTGAAAAATTAGACAATATAGAAAAATGTACTGCTGTTTGTTTATCAATAGTAAGTAGCTCCACTAATACCACCAGATCACCAGACTGACTTGGTGACATCTCACCCACAGGACCAGTCAGGTATTACCTCCTCCCCAACACCATCACAAAAAGGAAATTCAGGGTAAAACATCATTACTAGTGCAAAGACTGAGAACTTGGGGCAAGAAATGGTAGGAGAAGGGTGAAGAAAGAAAGCCAGGTGATATAATCCATCTATCTATACAACAGATTTTGAAAAAATTCAAACCACATCCTGACCATAGAGAACATAAAATTCTAGAGTATGAACACTATAGTAACTTTAAAAACATGTCATATAAATAAATAATTAAGAAATTTAAAAAAAACTATTATAATTTTTATTTGCCATGCACAAGATCTTTGAAACATTTCCTTTAAAATAATTATTGTTATTTCCAAGTTACCAATTAATAGGAAAAAGGAGAAAATAAAAAGTCTTTGGCTGGGCCATTAAAGGACTAGAACACAGTTTCCAATGGGAGTTCAGAGGTAGTGATAAACGAGCTTATACTCTGGTGTGTTTAGACTTTTGGTGAGATCTGTCATATGAACTTTAAACAACACAAAGTCTGTGACTAGGGACAGTAACTTAACATAAGCTGTTAAAGAACTGGACATCCATCAGATGTAGAACGCTATGTTTTATTTTAAGAGGCCATTCTCTAACAGTACCTGCTCCTTTGACCCCCTATTTCTCCTAAGAGAGGCCTAATTATTCTAATAATATGTTTTAGTTGCTAAACTTTGTCTAATTAAAGAGCTTTGAAGAGACAGCTATTCTTGAGAAACATAAAAATAAGCTCTTATGAAGGTTTGCCATCAGAAGCTCATCTGGCCAAGTCACCCATTAATTAAAATGCCCCAGAGACGTTCGTCTGGCAGTAAATACTAATTACCAGAACACATCAAAGCACTTTTTAAAAGCGACAGAATGATTAATTTTGTGATTTCCAAAATGATTTTCTTTTATTTAAAAAAAAAACTATAAATTCCTAAGTACCTTATTTTCCTAAAATGACTAGAAAGTTCTCCAAATTGCTACAAAGACTCTGCAGGAGCCGTAGGAATGCAGCCTAGTTCTGTTTTATCTCCACAATGACACATTGGTTGTCCTTGGACAAAACATTCATTCTGACAATACTCCCACCTCTTGATGTGCTAAACAGAAGTAAACTCAGTTGCATGCCATAGCTAAAGAAAGGATAGTGTATTTAGGAATAAATCTGTGCTTTCATTATGACAAAACTCTAATTTTCAAAGATGTTTTAAAAAGACAATTTTAAAAAGGTGTTTTCAATATTATACCAGAAATCTTTAAGCATTTTGAAATAGATGACAAAGTTCTTCAGGATTCTGTAGTGCTTAAATGTGATTATTCTATATACCCATTGTCAACTGTTAATGGTTCTGGTTAAAAGGTATTTGTGGCGGCACAGTGGGTACAACTATAATAGTTAAAGCTACCCTCAGCCTAAACTATAATATTTTCCCCAAAGTCAACCACAGTATTCCTACAGTTATAGATATAAAGAAAATACAAAAATCACCTTTTTAAGAAAAAAAAAATGTTAGCTACAAATATTAGACATTTCCTGCTAGCTACTGTATGCGATGTTCAATTTTCTCTTCTTTGGTAGCACTGTGCTCTTCCCCGCATAAGGGTATTAGTGGGTTAGTCTCATTCAGATTTTAGCCTCAGGTTTTATTTTTGCCATCTGACTCCCCCCACTCTCCCTGTTAGTTTCCCCATGGGGTCTAGTGGGTGTGCCAGGAAGCCTGCAGTGGCTTTCAGTCCCTCCTGAAAATCGCCTTTCAGCTGCCCGCTGACAAATGGCTGCTTTATATTCCTATGTGCTCAATATAGGCAGCAAAAGTTCAAGTTCAAAAGTGATATTTAACTTTAAGTGAAGAAATCCAGAGTGGGAGCCCAGCCTGGACTTAACACACCCGTCACAGCATTTGAGTAAATCCTGGCTGTTTTCAGAAGGCCCATGAAATAAAATGGCTCCTGAGTCCACACAATATTCAAAGTAAAATAAATTTTGAACCTTGTCAGGATAAACTCCACTTGCAAGGAATTCTAAAGAGTTATGGTACTTCTTTCAGGCAATTCAGTGGGCTAGTTCTCCTAAGCACTGGCTACAGATATCACCCAAATCCTCTATCTAACCACCTGACAAGCTAGCCACGACCCGAGCTTCTGTTATTTCTAGATTCCTGCCCCCCATCTAAATAAACTCCAATGAGACGCCTGCGTTCATCAGTCCTTTTTCACGGTCAGTAACTATTTATCTATTTAGATCTGGGGAAAATTTAAAGTTTTCTTCTACCACAACTCTTCTCCCACCATCTAAACCAGACAGGGATGAGGTAACTCTCAGTTAAAAGGCAAAAATGGTTCTCCTGTTTCAAGTTCTTACCAAGAGTAAAGAGTCTAAGTTTCCTTTCTCACTTTTCAATCACATAAATCATTTGGCACTGGCCTTCTTAATCTTTATCTGCTCTTACACACCCACCCCCACACAAAGTTAGTGACACTACCGAACTAATACATCCTCGAAGGGGTGATATTATTGGATTAAGGGATGAATTGAATTTTTTGATTTCAAAAGTCCTAGAACACTAGAACATAAAGTTTTCTTCAGAATTCTCTGTAATATTGCACCACTCTTAGGAAGAAATACCTCGTGGTACATTTAGGTTCTAACCTTTCAAAGAGTGAAAACACACATAAGCCAGGCTTCCCTTCCTCAGACCAGCTTCACTGGACGCTCAAGAGGCATGGCACTAATGGGACAGTGTGATGAGCTAATATCGCTTAAAATAAGTCACTTTTCCACTCCAAGCAGACACTGTCTTTGTTCATCTGCTAAGACTACAACTCACTGCTGATGCCAAACACGGCTGAAAAGGAACCTGACAGTATGTCCAGCAATGGGCAGAAACCACATTTCTCAGGCTGAACAGCAAACACAACTGAGAAAGGGGGAAGGCAGCACGTATGCCCCCCTTAGGTGGCTACCTGAAAAAATTTCTGCCCATCCCAAGCTAACCACAGCTAGCAATTCTTTACTTTGTCACTCAGTTCTATCATTTCTTCTTCCTACACCCATGGAAACGACTTCCTGTTTATCAAACAAATGCTTCATTCCAAAAGAGCCAGGGTGAGGTCAAAATAAATCAGCTGCCCAAGAGCAGGTTCAGAAGGGCACTTGCTTTTCTGTTTTAGACTACACTCACTTTAATATCTTATTGTCCTAGAACTCACAGACCCAGGTTGCCACTGATTAGAGGAAGAGGGCTTGTCATTTTATTGTCCTTGCCAAGAATATAACTACCTTACACCTGGCTTCTTGATTTGCTTGTTACTACTTTTCTTCATTTTTCCAGTTGTGTAGGACAAAAAATTTTGTGTTGTCTTCCATTCTTCTCTTCCTCACATACCCCACACCCAATCCATTAAGACATCCTATTAACTATACCTTCAAGACATATCCAAAATTCAGCTCTCCCTCACTCCAC